AAATTGAAATACACATTTCTTTTACTATTTTATCTTCGTAGATCAACAATCATGGGCGCATTCAAAACTCGCATTTGACAAAATAGGTGGATGAGCTTACGTAATTAATAATAATATTTTAAAACTCTAAAAATAGTATCATTATCGTATCATCCAGATAGACAAAAGAAATAAAGCTAAAAGCAAAAGTGGAAGACGAAATCATAACTAAAGGATAACATATTATGGGTCACTAAAGCTGATACAATAACAAGTTCCTGAGTAGTTGTGGCTACCCCTAATCCAAAACAGAATTTGTTATATTGTTATACCTACATCCGAAACAATTGATATCTCTATTTGTATCAATAATACAAAGGCAGACGCTCTCGTACGTGGGTTGAATGTAGTACTTGCTGCCCTCAGCCAACGCGGGGCTAGCATTTATTGATAATGTTTCCTGTAAAAGAATTCTGGCTCCCTTTGTTAAACTTGGTCTATTTAGCGGTTTAAATAAAACACATGTCGTGATAATACGAGAATGTTTTTGGTTATTTTATTTTTAATTATCTTTTAGGTTTTTAGTCTGGTCGCAGCTTAAAATATAATAACTAGGAAATCTAAATAGGTATTAAATTATTAAAACGTCTATTGTGTTATTGTTTACTTATCGTCTAAACAAAAGACAATACTTTGTACTTAAAAGTTTTAAAATTATTGCTTTCTATTTAAAAGGCTTATAAAGTAACTAATATATATAGAACAAAATTGAATCATTATTCTTATTTATACTTAACGTGAGTTAAGATTGAGCTTTTATTTTAAAAATAGAATATAACCTTACTATAGTTTTTTCATTATCTTTATTATGAGAAATCCGTTTAGTGCCTCCCTTTTACGAATAACATATTCTAGCAATAATATTTCATCATACATTAAAATAGCTAGCTTTTATAGTGATTAATAAACACTCTAAAATAGACCAGCTCGTGAACAAACCTTTGTGCATGCTCCATCGTCCAGTAATTAATTGTACATAAGCTAACATTAACAAGTAAATAATTTAATTATTTATACATTATAATAATGTCTGTTGTTCCTTTGAATTTGCAAGCATTTCTCGAGGTTGCGGTTCGGGATCCAATAGCGCTGTTTGTAACATTTAATTGATTTTGAGCTTCAGAAACTAATTAGACTTTGAGGTTTATGTAACCGTACAGTATTAATAACTTACCATATCTTAGTCCCTAACACAATCTCGGCTAATATTATATTATGCTTAGTTAATGAATCCAACTGCCTCGACGTCATGAATTAAACATAAATGTTACCTGTCTAAATATGCACAAGGTTTGATTTAACTCTAAATAAGGTTTCAATAATTTCATCAGGCTAGTTTATTATATATTTAAACTCGAAAAATACTATATCGATCACGAATTATATATACAAAGCAGAGTACTAAAATAATTATCAAAAGTGAAGAAAAATAAACTAAAGATCATTAAATTATCCAGTACATCATATTGGACCAACAATGGATTAAGCGCTATCTCAAATGGAGCCATTAATGCTATTATTTCAGGCGCCTCGCCATTGAAAAACTATTTGTGAACTGGGAATAATACACGGTGGTTTTCTGTTTGGGTCTGAGGACTATCAGTACCTTCAATATTTATTCAGCTCCTTGCTAAGGAGCTTACCATTCCCTCTACAATATTGTATTAATAATTCAAAACGTATATCCGGGCACAGTATCTCTTCAGGCCAGGCAATTAACTTGTCTGGATTTCTATATTTACAGAATCATAAAAGTGCACAGAATAAGCCAGCCAATAAAACTGGATGCCCGCAATAAACAGAATCAATACTTTTATACGCTTCACAAATGCACAATATTACAATTTCCAAAGCTCGTTAACATTCTTCTCACAATGCAAACCAAATAAACATTTTGCGAAGTTGAATCGTAGTCGATTCCTTTCAAACGTGTTAATTGAAATGGAGGCACGCATAATTTAGTAAGCGAAGATGTGTCGGCTGATATTTTTATTCGGTTTAATGGTGTGATATGGATACGTTATGGGAAGGAAACATCGTGTATTGTGTTACAGGCTCAGTGGTCTTTATCGACGCGAAATTTCATTATATTCGTGCCCCTATTCCACCGATTCAATTGGAACACCTTCGCACAATTGGGAGGGCCGCTTCAATGGGTTGTCGGATGAAATTTCTTAACATTCTTCGCCCATAATGAGAAGGATGTCGTCCAATGGACAGCGGTAACGGTGTAATTATGGAACAAAATGAGATTGACAGATATGAAAGGAGATTAAAATCCGCTTAATGAACTCGTATAAAGTAATGCGCGATGAACGCTTAGGATTTCGGCGATGAAATTATTTTGAATTTTCGGTGGAACTTTTTTATTTTATTAACGCTCTGGTCGTTGGATGGTTTCATAAGCCGAATTTCGAGACGGTGTAATTAGGGACTCTCGCAAATAATTTTCAATTTATATCTGAAGGAATATGAAATTCAAAGTCGAATTTAATCTTTAAAACTTTTTATTACTAAATCTATTTGATCTTTATCACACGCTTCATTACTGAAGATCAAGCTTGTCATGAGAAGGTACTGCCTCGTCGACCAGCTGCCTTCATACTCAAAACTATTGTAATAAATAATCTGAGTCCAAAACACTACTTCATTCAATAGACAAAGATAAAATTCGAAAATTAGTGAAGCAAAAAACCTTTGGTAAACCAGTATAATATGAAGTGGTCTGCTGGGAATCAGTAATGAAGACATCATTATGGAACCGGTTTCAATACTAAGAATCACCGGACAGGATGTGCGAGAGACGTTTTTGACTCACAATTTTATTCGAACTATAATAGGTACATTAAAATGACAAGCTTTATTCATTCATGCCTCCCAGAGCTGGTGCAGTTATGGTTTTTTATTCGAAGGCAGTTTTGATCCTAGTGGATACAAACAGTAATAAAGTCACCCCAAAATGATTTCAATAGAGATTTTTAAAAATATTTACACAACAACGATTGAGTCATAATCCCACCGAAGTCACGGTGATCATTAATCATTTTAGTTGCAAAATGTTATCAAAGCCCTTTGGGAGGTATTGATTATATGTAAACAATCGCTAGAAATACTGTCTATAGTTTACGCGAGTAGTACACATTTAAAAGAAACACTTTAACGGTTTAAAACGCGATATATTAGTTAAACTTATTTGAAAATGATTTTTAACTTCGGCCCGACGTTTCGGATGCTTTGCAGCAGCCGTGGTCACGGGGAGACTAAAGATGGAGGATGTCTCTGACGTCAAAGTAAAGAATTGCTACGCTAGCGCCATCTGTTCCGTCGAAGTTGGTATTTGGCGAAACTGGCCGGGTCCTTACAGAATTGACTAACGGTGTCTTCGCGTTTGCTGGTATGCTGTTTATTGGGATCCAGAGAACATCCTCCATCTTTAGTCTCCTCGTGACCACGGCTGCTGCAAAGCATCCGAAACGTCGGGCCGAAGTTAAAAATCATTTTCAAATAAGTTTAACTAATATATCGCGTTTTAAACCGTTAAAGTGTTTTATTTAAATCGCTAGAAATGTTACAACGTCGATTCCTTACTTCTGATTCGAGTGATAAATGTATAAGTAATTTAGCTAACAATTTATTACACATGCGTCTGATAGCTTCACCCTTTCAATATCCCTTTTTTGAGGCTTATCTATTTAATTCATCTCAATACTCTTTCACGGGAACCCTGGCCGAATTCAAAGATACACATGACGAAGGGCCAAAGATTCGGGTTAAATTTACCAGAAGACATTTACTTATTCCACGATACTCGTGATTATCATCTCTTTGGTTAGGTATGATGGATTACTGATATGAATTTGGATGCGGTGTAATGAATTGGAAAATGCAAAAAGATTATGATCAACTTCACGTTATTATCCATACTAATGTGATTAGGAAATATATTCTTGTTTTCTCACATATACAGAACTTAAGACACCTTTAACGCTTTGAGAGGCAAAAATATTTTTATCTACATATCCAAAGCGTAGCGGACGTGGTAACTTATAACCATTGTATAAATTTCCTATATTTCGCATTTCTAACCGTTTAATATGTTTTGATTGGTCTAGAATCTTCTAACTATACTCACGACATATTTAAATGTAGTATTCATAATGCAAATATTAGAGTTAAAAGCACATTTCTCTTAAAGTACTACATTATCCTCTCGCATAATGATCTTTACAACCATTAAAGCCCCGCAGTTTTTTTACAAAGTGAATAGTTAAACTGTCATTTATTCTTCGCTATTGGGTGAATGTTTTTTGTACTATTATTTTATTTATTGGTTTCTGTATTGCTCATTTGCGTTCGCGTGAGGGCCTACCATATATCACGCTTTAAATAACAGTTTACGTTCATTTTGTTTGGTATCGATATTATTGGATTTAACATTTATCAGACAATATGAGTAATTAAGTCTATACAACGTTATTATTGTCGACATTTCGTTTTAATGAAAAAAAATATATAAAAATTAGCCTGGTCTCGTACATCCAACGGTAAAGAACAAGGAAATAATATTAGAATGTATTATGTTTATTAACATACAAAATTCCACCAAGGGGTCTGTTTGTAACCCTTTCTTTTGATTCTAGTCGAGTCCAAAAAAATTTAAGTCAACCGTCGCACTGGCGCTTTTAAATCTAGACTGATTTAGGCCTACACCGCGCCTTGCTTTTGAACATATTATCATGGTATAAGATAAGATAGGGTTTAATTTATTTGTACATAATTACTTAAATTTCAACTTAAGTGTGATAACGTTTTTTAAAGAATACCTAATCTAGTCCTATTATGTGATCCAAGTCAGAAACTCTTTTTAACCGACAACGCGAAATTGGGAGATGTAGGTTATATATATCTTTCTTTTATTTTAGGTATAAATATGCGATAGTGTTTTCTTAAGTGTAGTGACGATGTATAAAAGTGTACGGACTATAAGTGCCATGTCTCTCACTGTTCGTTGGTTGGCTATAGTGCTCCTTGGTGCGGAATGGCAGGTTCATTCCCAGCTTATACAACCTACGTCTGAAGTAGAGAGTTCATATAACTTCTATTATGAACAGCCTTGCTGTACGTCACCCCTGACTAAGAGCAAATACCACACGAGGCATAGAAGAGGTGAGTCATACAAAAAAAATTGTTTAAAAAGTCAGAATTTCAAAAAAAAGGTTTACCTACTTTGCGTTATAAAAGCTATTACTTTTCAATATTATGTCCAAAAAACAATGTATATTTAAATAAAACACTTTAGCGGTTTAAACGCGATATATGTTATAAAATTATTTTTAACTACGGCCCGACGTTTCGGATGATTTGCAGCAGCCGTGGTCACGGGGAGACCCAGTCTCCGGTTTAACTAAAATATATATCGCGTTTTGAAACCGTTAAAAGTGTTTTACTAAAATGTGTACTACTCGCGTAAACTACAGACAGTGTTTAATCAATGTATATTTAAAAAATAAAAGCTCTGTTACATTTGGACGACTAATTTTATACTTTAAAAAATGCAAGAAAATTAATGTTGAAGAAAAACTAGTTATATATTGAAATAAATGTTATTGGAATAATTGAGCAAACATAAGAACATACTTATTTTTATTTTATAAGGAACAAAATATATTATAGATATGGTATTATTAAATGGACAGAAAAGAAAGGTTCTTGAGTTAATGTTACTACGATGTATGTATTCCTTTTATATATAGTACTAGCTGTGCCAGCGACTTCGTCCGCATAGAATAGTTGTTTTAGGCATGCAAATTTGTTTTTGCAAACCTCTATAGTATATTTATAAATTTAAAAGCTGCCAACGACATCGGTCGCGTCCCGTCGCAACTAAATCTTAAAAGATAGACATATAATGTCTCAGACATTTTTTTAGATCATTGACGATAAATCACTCTTTCATACATATTTCTTATATGTCTTGAACCGTTTTCGCAGCGAACGCATCGGAAACCCAGAGAGATAAATACATTCCTCCGTTTTTTTTCACATTTCTTACTGTTTCTTCACAAAAATAATTTTTCATTTTTCAATTCGAACCGAATAGTTCCTGAGATTAGCTTGGTCAAACAAACTCATCAGCTTTAAATATCAGTACAGCTATAACAGCTGTTTTACGTTTACTATTCCCCAAAGTTCAGTTGTTTTAACTCGTTTCAATATTCCTCGTAATAACTTAGTTAATATTAACTGTGTTACTGTAGGAGCCATATCAAATTTAATAATAAGTTCATTCTTATAAAAGTATTTTACCACCAAGATTAGTGTTTCAAAACATACCTTAAATGTCTTTCTTTAATATAAAATTAACATAATGCCGTTCTTTGGCATTTCTCAGAAGCGTATACTCATTTTTCGAGGTATCTTAACTGCACACAAGCTTATCATATACACCTGTGTGTGTTTCGACTACATACACTCCACACTACCTCTACATTCAAACAATTCAAGTGTGTGGCAAAGAGAGACGGCTGTACATTTTTGTTTGCGAGTTATGAGACAAAATAATTCTTTTGTTTTGCCCTCCCTGAGAAATTCCGGGTGATTCTAATAGTCGTACTTAATAGTAGCTATAAAGATGATAGATATGCAAACGTACTAATTATTGCGTGTTGTTTTTTAAATATTGAAAAAAAAAATATTAAAAGAAATATTACGTAGAGTCGAATGTAAAACTCTTGAGGGTTTAAATGCAAAATATATTGATTTCTGAACCTTTACTCTATTTTACATTTTGATCCGTCGAAAGTTCTTTATTTATTATAACAACGCACAATTCGTAAATTTTTATTCAAACCAATGAATTCTCTCTGTACGTCTGCGCTGTCAAATATTAATTTATTTATAATTATTAACTATACATCAAAAGCATAAGTAGAAATCTTCATTTGTAATTACATTCGCTAGTTATCAATACACTGAGTTTGCTAAGAGCATAATAAATGTACTAACTGGAATAATTACGCCCTGTCTATCGCAAATTTATGAATGAAACCTACTATTACGTGCCTTGAAGTACTAATTTAACTTGTCACTAGTTAATTTAATTGTGAATATATATGTAAGTATTTTTCACTCTTGCTAACATGTGAACTAGTTGCCTTTTATTTTGGCAGTTTAAAATGATTCTATATTCGAATGAAAGATGACAATTGACATAACACTAGGAAGCAATAAGCTAGGGAAACTATGAAATTATAAATAGAAAATATATATACATACTCTATAACATAAATAGATTTTAAGATAATCACGTTTTCATTGACAAGCAAGCGTTCAGAGTTTAACATCAAAATTAAAAATATATCACCCTGCTTTTAACGTAATAAACTACAAGTTACATTAAAATATAGTCTCTCACTATTAATACATTATTATGTATTCAACAGCTGCACTATCACATTCATCCTAAAGATCAAATCTATATTTATCTCTGAATACAACACTCCCGCTCCCTCGAATCACAGAAGCTGGGAACTCGGGGTGTTGGGTTCAGTTGAAACGTCATCGAAAGTGTCAATCACGGAGGTTCCCGAATAGCAAAACCGATTATCGGGCATATTAAGCCCGTTATTGTTATCGACAGGGCACCCGGTCCGGCGGACCGTGAAGTAGATTAGGGACATCATATTATGGCGTACTTTTGGACGCCTTTGGCGTCAGCTGCATCGCATGCAGGCACCCAACAGCCGAGTTTTTGCAGCGCCTTATTAAATTCTGGGAACCTTTTTTACATTCCTTATAACGCTGTTAGGTTTTTGAGTATTTTTACCTACCTATTGTTATTGTGTAGTCTTACTCTTTGTATATAAAAATACATTTGTTGTACTTGCCTCGATGCTAACAACAATAGGAGTGCAACATTTTGAAACCATAAATTCGTTCGATTTTCAAAATAACATCAAAAGGTTCTTCATTTAAATTTGTATAGTTCTAGACTATATTTATTTCAATTCGTAATCAAAGTTTTTTTTTCTTGCGAACGAAACAGTATAGCCAGACCTGGGTTCTTATTTTAGGGAACACTATTTAATTTAAATATCAATTTTGCTTTTAGTATAATGAAAGCGTCATTACAAGTGCTTTATCCTGTATTTTATATCTTAAGATATGCAGAGAGCAAATAGTTCTAGCATTACAAGGAAAATGTTTCAGCAAACTTGTTCCCGTCGACCGTACATTAGCCTAGCTGAATAGCGCTTAATGAATGGGATGCCTCATACATTAACCACTATGCACTTTTGCTGACCAAACATATGTTATAGCGGTCTCTCTAATAGCACTCTATCGGTAATGTACCCCTTTCACAGATCGAAATTTCAAATGAAAAACACACTAATACGTTTTTATATTTTTATGGTTACACATAACATATTATACCTAAACTTACTTTGAAGCTACATATGCACGAAAAAACTGCAATTCCATGCAATCTAAAAAGTATATCCTTGCAGGCGAAGTCACAAGTACAGCTAGTTCAAAATAATATGCGCAAACGACACATAGCGTCAGCAGCCACCTGAATTAGGAACTATGTCATAAGTTACATAGTAAGTCGTCTTCTAGCCCTGATTATAGTTGGGACTTAAAAATAAATAAATAAAATAGTTATTTTGGGCATTATAATATTTAAATAAAACACTTTAACAGTTTAAAACGCGATATATTAGTTAAACTTACCAAAAATCATTTCCAAATAAGTTTTAATATATCGCGTTTTAAACCGTTAAAGTGTTTTATTTAAATGTGTACCACTCGGGTAAACTATAGACAGTATTTCATTATAATATTTACTTTTTGCAAACAATCTCTATATAAATTAAGCTGTACCCACGACGTCGTCCGCGTCCCGTCCCGTCGTTCTTGCGAGTTAATCCTAAAAGATAGATATTAGAATACTGTCGCGGATGTATTTTTTTTATTTTGGTTTCTTGAAGCATCTTCGCAGTGCATGCAACGGAAACCCACAAAAATGAATAATCTTCCCCGGCCTCTCCACATTTCCCGCTGTTTCTTCGCTCCTATTTTTTGCAGCCTGATGGTTATAGGCCTTCCTCGATAAATGCTTTAACCAACACTAATAGTATAGTAATAGTAATATTAGTATAGATTACTGTATGTCTTCTAGCCGTGATTATAGGTGGAACTATGTATCCATCTTATAGTATGTATCATATACCCAACAAGACCTATTATTCTGTTAGTCTAAGAAAGCCCCTCACTTGCCTCTCCTTTAATTGTATTGGACGAAACGACACCCAGAGGAAAGTGACATTACTTATTTTGGACATCGGTAACAAAACATTCTGTTCGAAATTTGGTCACGTATACAAGAAGTGAAGGGTGTTCTATATTGTCCGGGAAGCACGCGATTGTCCATTGTACTCCCGCGAGACAAAGGGTTAAGGATCCTGGAAAGAGGTTTACCTTCGTCATCTGCCTTTGGTACAAACGATTGGTATTTGCAAGCGATCACTACCTATTTTATCTCACTAAGCTTTGCTCCAGTTAACACGTTAAAAGATATGGTGTTCTCAAGACAAGAAACTATTGTTTGATTATTATAAATAATTACATTGTGTAAGTGGCGCCATCTTACAAATAAAAGGTAATTGCAAATGTCAGTTTGTATTCGACTTGCAACCTGTGTGCTTTATTACAAGAACGTTCAACCGTATAAATGCCTATTATTAACTTTATATATAAAGTAAAGTTATCGACGAACAACATAGGCTACTGTTGAACACTTATAAAAGTTTAGGTGATTGCTCAGGTTGACTTTTTTTAACACAATCACTATACTATTGTATATTGATTTTCTTTAAATTGATTTGTTGAGACTGAAATATGTAGTATCTAGAAAATTCTATGTTTTATATTATTATTTATTATAATTTTAATATTTTTTGGGATGAATGAAGTTTTATTTTTTTCGTCGTTAACTTTGTCCGGTATGGTCATGTATGCTAGTATCATATAGAATTAGAGATTCGATTTGCCAAATCAAACACTAGAAAGCATGGCCCATAGTTCGCAGAATTCGTGCAAATGTTTCGATGGCTGGCAACACAATTTGATTCATTAAACAGGGAAACAATCGCCGCGAGCGAAATTACGACAGATAACTCCAGGCTCATGCGAATTATCATCGCAAATTAATTAATATAATTATTTTAATTCAACATACGCAAACATAAGCGTGTTATTGAATCACAATTTATCTCATTATATGAATGCTTAATCTGTTCATAAATAAGCTTTTTAAAGCTAAATTACAATCATGGAAACTCCGTTAATCATTTTGATTGCGGTAGATATCGGCAGGTGAATGCAAGCAAGGTTTGCCGTGCTGGCTAGTCTAATGGTAGCTTTGCTAATAATTAACGCGGCCCAAGTTTGAAGTTGTGTCCCAAATGAGTGGTAGGAATATCATAATTCTATCCGCGTCACAAAACACCGTTCTAATGCAAAAGTCGTGAAGTTTAATTGCGTTTCAGTTTAGTCTGCAGATTCCCGAATGTCCAAAGTCAAATAGGTCGAGGAGGTAGATGTTGAGATGTTATGTAGCTTGGGTATTTTTACCACCCATCAGTGGTTGACCCTTGCTTCTCTGTCATTAAGAAAAGATTTAGTCTAGCTGACTATATACGAGATATTTTACTAACTCACGTCATTCAATTGTTTTAACTTCCCGGAACCTCTAACCGAACACTCGAATTGTATGATTAAATTTGAAAGTTACTTAGAAATTGCTATAGAAATTCGTAGAAGTATTTTTTAAAATTTACGCAATCGGTTCCCAAGACCTGCGACTCACAAATCGCACGCTTAGTATTAGAGTGACCTAACTCAAAAAAGTAAAATTAGATAAATGCACTGACATTACTATAATAACGCCATCATCATAGTTTTATACGATTTGCCAAAAAAGTGTTTTTTTGAATTCGGTCAATGTAACACTAAGCGTGCGAAATATTCATTTTTATATTATAGTTTATCTGGTACGATCTATCTCAAGTATTTTTCATTTTATTAGATCCAATAGCTATTTATTCAACGAGACCACAATTGTGAAACACAGACTTAACAGTCCTTCAAGTAATTCTTCCGTCTGTATTTCAACTCTATAAATTCTTTGTCTGGCTAAAGTTATTGTTTAAAGCCAGATCAAATGTTCAAATTCCTTTGTGAAATACTATTGGATCATTACAAAGCAGGCGCTTTAAATTCTAGAACGAATGGGAATTCCTCTTTTTGGTATCTCTTTGAATCGGCACAGATTATTCTAACTGCAACTTTAAAGCCTAACAATACGATAACACTTTTAACATATTATATAATTAGCTGTATAATACAAGAAGTAACTATTACTCAGGGGTTATAAACATTTAAAAGACTAAGATTCCGAAATAGGCTCTGGCACCTACATTATATAATATGCAACATACTCACTGCTTCCGTAACTTTAATTTTTATAAACAATAATTAATAAGTCTGATGAACTACGTGCCCTTGAATCGAATTGATCAGTATAACGGACACAGAAATGTTCGCCGCATTTCCAACATGGAAACAGGATTTTACTTTGACAAAATACCGCCATTTTACCTGTGTAGTACTTGTTACTTTTCTATTAGTCTGAATGTTAGTTCTTCGTAATAAAACGCTTACGTAATTGAGTAGAAGCAACGTAAAAACTTCCAGCAAGATACCGTATTTCAAGAGTTAGTATGTTAATAGAGCCATATTATCAAACGTCTACAAATTTACATATAGGTAACAGACTAAAGTACTACATTTTCGTTTTAATCCGGGCTGCATGTCTTACTGTTAACGGACAGTGTATTTTACATTTTACTCAACGTTCTAGTAGTAGAATTTGCATTGTTAATTTTATTTTATTTTAAAAGGCTTGCTGTTTTTGAGGGGCCAGTATACGTAAATAAAGTAGCTTTAAAATTTAAATTGTACAAAGAGAGCTGTAATTTTATTTAAGCAGACATATATATGACGACGCTACTTGGAAAAGTATAAACGACATTACTTACTATTTCTATAACATATTTTGTTCTATGAAGATGGTCAGAAATTACCATTTAAAGGTAAAACGATCTCTATGAGGATTTTGTTTGTTTAGAAATATTAACTCCTTTGTTATCTATACAACAAATGAGAATTAACACCGCTTGATTCAAACCGGTTAGTAAAGACAGCAGAAGTAGTTTTAAATAAAACACTTTAAAGGTTTAAAACGCGATATATTCGTTATTATATCGCATATATATAACTAATATATCGCATTTTAAACCGTTAAAATGTTTTATTTAAGTGGGTACCATTTGCGTAAACTATAGACAAGTAGTATTTTTATATACCAGAGTAGAACAAAGCATACTTTTCAATTATATTAAACATTCGGAAATGCACTGACTGGTCGTTACGGGATTAATCTTTACGACATTTTAATGGTCCATGACCGGGGTGGTATATCAATATTCCTACCCTCCAATTATGTTCAGATTTTCCAGACTAAGTTTATCATGCTTTAGAAAAATTATATTTTTTTTTATGAGTGAGGATCGAAGTCACGACTCGTCGATTGTTGATACATAGCTACTATAAGACCATCGAGAACGAAACGCTCTTGCAAACTTGCAAGCTAAAAATGGTTTGAAAAGCTGAAGCAACCTCGTACCATCCAATCGCTCAGCTCAGAGCGGTTAGTTCATTTGTGTCCCAAAGAGAAATCCCAAACCCTTTACGGTTCACACTCCGGTACAAAGAAACAGGCGGCACTCGATCAATAGCAGTATTCCAATGCAATCCTCACGTCAAAGGTAATTCGATACCCGCTCTGTATCGCGCTTTTTGTTTTGGCACTTATATGCCTTTACTTTATTTTCGCTGTAACTTTACACGGCTGCGGTCGTGTTACTATTGACACTTCCAACCAAAACATTCAACCGATTAAATGGAAAATGAAAAAATTCCCTTCTCCCACCGTACGCGTTGCGGGTACGCGATATCTTTATCAATTGATCTTACATCTACACTAATATTATAAAGAGAAAGATTAGTTAATGTGTGCGGTTTCACGTGTGTAAGTGTGCTTGTGTGTGCATGAGTACTGTGTGTGCATGTGTAATAGAAACACACACATGTGTCGATTTAAAAATTAATTCACTATTATTTGAAGGCACTTACAATTATTATAGGAGAACTGTAATATAGACTATTTATTTATTTGACAAATGTTGGCTAACGCCTTGGATTATTTCGATCAAATAATGCGAAAGTTAGTTCATATTTTATTCGTAAATTTTACGTGTAAAATTAAATGTTATAAGTCCGAATAAAAATAATGTAGCTAGTAAACTAAAAAACAAAAATAGTTCCATAGATGTTATTATGAAGAATATTTTAATATAATATTGTATTATACCAACCTCACTTTAAATAGGACATTATGTACCTATGTTAGTTACATAATTTTTTCCTATCGCACGTCGTTTCAAGGACTACTTTGGGTCATAGTTAAAATTAATATTCATGTATAGCATGAACCGTTTATGTTTTATTTTAATCAATATATAACACAACAGAAAAATATATATATTTATTACTTTTGAACGACGTCTCTTATCAACTTAAAACGATAACAAGAACGATTAATTAATTCATGTATTCAAAATAACTATTAAATCTTAATCAAATCCACATTATCAATGTTTACGACTGTAGACATAAATTCTCCGAATCTCCTGCCATAAAACAAAACCATGAGATTACCGATTTAAATACATCGATGCGATAGGGGCTTTATAAATTAGCGAAACGATACCAATTTCCCTAATGACACTGTAAAAGGAAAGTTTACGGTTTTCGTGAAGTTAAGCTCTTTTTAGACTATATAATATAGTGGTGTATGCAGTAGACACGATTAAACCTAACTGTTATAGATTATTAGATATTTGTATCAGACTTCTGTGCCCTGCCAGCCAATACTTCTGAACATTCATGCCAGTTTTTTACGGATTAATTTGACTGGACTGCAAACAAGAGCACACAGCAGTACAGAACATCACTCCCGCGAATGAGTCGCTTTGCCCATCACACCGTTGTGGTCAAGCGCTAAAATTTAAAGCGAAGATGTTGACGACTAGCGAATCCTTCAAATCTAATAGCTATGCCGAAATTCACAGCGCTCTGTCCCGAAATTAATTATAGACTGTCCCGACCAGGTGCGCCGTAAGGCACTTATACTGTTCCGATCCCTGTCATGTCTAAATTATTTAAAGTTTACAAATTGCTACTTTTATCAGAGTACGAACTTAATTAAA